GTTCTCTCGCACTCTTTCATTGTTTTACTTTGAATGACATCAAATAAAAATGAAATGATACAAAAAAAAATAAAAATATGAAAATGAAACGAAATTCATCGATTTATTCAAAAAACATAACGAATATAATTGTACTTCTGAATAAACTACACACATAATTTAAACTTAACATATTAACAACATCGTTATTGTATATATCTGATATGTACATTAAGCAACGAATTAGTCACACATAGCAGCAGTCAGTCACCAACGGAATATCGAGTTAACAAATAACACCAAAAATGAATGAAAAACAAACGAATATCCCAAAAAATGGTACAAAATGATTTCAAAACGGCTTAAACACCTCAAAAATCAACATGAATATTATGAGTAAACATTCAACTGAGCGAGGAACCATAATTCCCGATGCTCGGACAATTAGCCTAAAAACGCTTTGCATACAGTTAGCCTATTCGGCAAAATATCCATTAAAAACCATCCGTTAGGCAATGTGTCTTTAGGTAAACTGCTGTTAGGCGACACGTTTTTAGGCAAATTGTCCGGTCACGTTAATTCCTTGCACAAAATTTCACATAAATTGAACATTTTCAGGCGAACAAACAACTCTAGAACCACCAATGTATCCATATTAATAGTCCTTTTAAAATCAATAAAACAGAAAAAATTCATCAACAACACTTCTTCAAATATTGGAACGACCGAAATTAGATCCTTGAAACAACCGTCATTGATTTGAACTGTTAAGTTTTGATGTGGAACATTAAAAACTGATGTAAACGCTGAAATTTTCCGCATCTTCAAAGAGAACTGAATGAAATTACCCATTAGAGTAAGGAATGACGGAAAAGTTTCAGTCAGTGGCCTACTTCACCAGGAAATCGAATCATCAAAGAGAAATTTTAACAACTGATTTTCCCACTACTTGACGGAGGAGCGCCGGAATAACTTCGATCAGTAACACTACAAAAAATAATTTCTCGCATTCTACCAATTTGATCTTCCAGCGATTTGGCTTGATTCTTCAACACTTCAATATTTCGTTGCAGCCATTCGGCCTCTTCCCTAAAATAATATCAACTTAAATTGTGCTCGATGCAATGACAACAACCAAACGGATCAATCAGTCACCTGTCATTTTTGGACTTATCGCGAATTTTGCGTCGATACCTCGCAGCAGCAATTCGATTCTGTTGACGTTTCCGTTCGCTGATCTCGATCGATGACATTCCCGACAGCGATATTGGTGCAGATCGTCGTTTCGAGTTTATCGCAGCTGTTGAAGGGTCGTTATCCTTCAAGCGTATACACACATACTTACAGATAAGTTGATGCGAAAGCAGATAGCATACTTAATCTGATCTGAATTCATACTAGCGCATTACGGTGAACGAGTAATCTCGGCGGCCATGTCCACGACTTTTTTCGACGAGCCGATCGCATTTTCGTGGTGCCTGACTATGAACTTTTATCCCCGATTTTCTCAAACCCTGACTTTTTTACTTGCCCGCAATACACTAATTCATACAAAACGCATTCAGAGTTCACTCACAAAAATCTCAATTCAAATACGCAATCAAACAGCTTTTGTGCGTCGCCGCATCTTCTTTCACTTAAAACATCGCCTCCTTAAGTGATCGCGCTGACATTTGATTCAGCACACAGAATATTGCTGATTACGTGAATAAGAGGACTACTGCATACTTTTGTCACAGAACCGGACGTTGTCGGTGACTCAGATCGTGTTCCGGATGGTATGCTTGACGTTAAAGCAACAACATCTGCAGCTGATGAAGATTGTTGTGACAACTCTTCAGAGGACGTCGGTGGTGATGAATGACCAACAGATAAATGATCACAATGTGCAATGTCCCTGAGAAGACGCACGGATTGGTAAAGAAATTGCACGCAGGCAAAAATGTTACCTTCACCAAAAAATCAAATAAACCAACTAAAAATTTTAAACTGCTCAACAAAAACAACTTACTGCAGATCCAGTTCCATATTTTCAGATGACTGTTGCTTGCGATTTTCATCATCTTCGTCGCCACTTGCATCCGACACAACGTGCACGACCATCTTTGTGCTTCTTCTGTAAAACAACCGAACCAATACGTGAAAAGACAAAAATCTATCAAAAAACGACGCAAAACAAAATGATGACTATCAAAGCGATTTAGTTTACTGCTTTCAACTCCTTGTAACCAATACATTTT